CTTCCTGACTATCATTACACAAAGCCCCTTTTCTGTGCCTTGCAGTGAGCCAAAAATGGTGATTTTGTATGCATGAACGACAGAAGGGCTTTGCCTTTTTGCTAGCGAGAACACTATGAGCCTCATGCATCCCAAAACAGATGTATGGGGCGCAGCTGTAAACAGATGTATGGGGCGCAGGTGGCTATCAGTGGCGCCTCTATAGGCGGTGCACAAGGCGTATACACGAATGCGCTGCTCAGCAGTGCAAGCTTTATTCCTGTGTTTCCAAACTTCAGTAGGCGTCGGGACGCGTTACGTTTGTTTTGCTGCGCGCAGCTGGGAACGCTAGAGTTCACGCAGCCATCCGCACTTTTCGCTGCAGTCGGGGAAATATGGCTCGCTAACTAACGGCTTGCAAAAGAGTTACTGCGCATATGCGAGTAAGCTTGTTTTCCACACGAAAGCCTCAACCACAGACTAGCAGACGAATAATTTTTTTCCCATTTACCACTAATCCCTGTCTTTCCTTTCTTTCGTTTTCTCCTTTCTCTCAGTGGAAGAGGAAACTTACAATTAGGCGTAACATTCCTGAAGTACGTTTTGAGAAGTCTTGGTGCTGATCCTGCCCCTTCGTATGAATGTGGAGTGGTGAACACGTTTAGAGCGAGAAAAGCAGTCAGGGAAGCAGAAGTTTTACAGGTGTTTGCAAAGTGGGCGCCAGGTGCAACACCCTCTACGACGGAGTTGCCTTGTCGGCGCTTTCGGGAAACGGGAGACAGCATGAACGAATGGATTCGCAGCGCGCCGTTGAGTACACAACGAGCGCGTAGCAATGGGCATTTCTGAGAACGCGGCATCCGCTCCCGTCGTAGTGTGATGACGTCAAGAGGCCTCAGCTAGTCTAGAGGGTATTGGCCAGGGGTCGCTCACTATTTTGCAAAGGTCAACATAAAAAAAAAGAAAAAAAGAAAGATTTTTTTGTCGAGCCAGGTGGCACACTTGTCACCACCCCATTATAACGGGGACGCTCATATCATCCATCCATCCAACAAGGCTGCTGCAGTGGTGGCGCGCGACGCAGAGGTAGTGATTTACGTGGACAAAAATTGAAGGCGTGCAGACTAATTATACGAACTGGTACGGGGTGTGTACGCCTGTGGAGTGTTTTAGTTTATTTACTTGATAGGTGTTTTTTTTTTTGTTCTCTGGTTAGGGCGAATTAATCTTGCCCGCCCGATACAAAGGGATCAGCCTCAAATCATCAGAGTCAATGGGCCTTTTTCAGGTCCGAACAGCGCCTCCAGTGGAGATCACCGAAATCGAAACTGGGAGTCCGTGGCCTCCGAAGTTATCCGCCACGGCCCGGTAGAAAAATCTCGTAGGCCTGGTATTTTTCGGGATAATTTGCAAACGACGCCAGGTGCCTTTCAGTTCGCACCTGTCACCGCCCTGTGCAACGTTTATAGAAGCTGTTTGGCTCTGTTACTCCCCCAAAACATGGCGTCAAGTCACCACCACTTGCACTACTTCGCATGCGCAGGCTAGTCTCCCGAAAAAAAGTCCATTGTTATCCTAGTTCAACAGGCGTCACGTGAAATATTCAAACACACATACACTGCCAGACACTCGTCACCTCCCTGCGATGGGAAAGCGCGCTTCAGATAATGTCCTACAGGCTTCAAAAATATGTGGAGGCAAGGTCCAGTTCTTTGTGTCCTTCAAAAACGCTTCTACAGTCACCTGAGTACAAAGGCGAGCAACCAAGCAATTCCTGGAATCTTTGGCACAATAGCCTAACCTGCTGGCTATGCATTCCTGATGTACAGTGCAACACGCTTTATTCCCTTCTTCCTTTCTCTCTCTCCTTCTCTTTCTTTCTTTTTCAGCAGGATTTAGCCATTGAAGTCTAAAGAAGTCCATCCGTGTTTTGGCGGCTTAGTTGTGTTCAGAAGCGCCACTTTTGACGAACGTCGGAACTGACGTAAAACAACTTGATGTTTTTTTTTTGACAGAGGGCGCCACCATCAAAAAGTGTTTGCGAGCTTTAATATTTTTGAAAAATCTTTTGTTTCAAGCACCGCTTCGTAATGTTAGTGAGTACTGGTGATTACAAGACACTACATGGTCCTGCTAATGTGCAATACTTGTTGTGAATTAGCCTACAAAAGACGAAAAAAAGGAAATTTGCACGAACCTGGCAAGCAGAAAAATGAGCTAAATTCACTGCTGTCCTACAAATTTTCTAATTAACTTACGACAATTTTCTCTTCATAGAAACCTAGGGAAAGGCTTGCTGATTTATTATTGAAGATTTCAGAGTTTCAGCTTGGATAGTTTTGTCCCTTCGTCGGTAATGCCTGACCAAGTAGCGCCATAAATTGCCGTATTGAAGGAGTAATAATTCAAGAACTGTTCATCAGAACACAAAACAACTTCGCGTACACATAATGTACATTGTAGCCTGGAAACTCATTCAATATTGTTGTTCTGCACAAAATAGAAAAAAAGTTATTTACTCATAAACTTTCATTCTTTTGCCCATTTTTATTAGAGCGTGCATCAATTTCTAATTGCTCTACTGGCAATATCTCTTCATAGAAACCTTGCATAACGCTTCGTTAAAAGGCTCAGCAAATTTCATTTTGTTATGTTGGACAGTTTTGCTGCACTGGCAGTACAACGGAGGCTTGTACAGCAAAAACGCTGTTTTTTGCTCACACTGTTTTAATTGCCATTAAATAACACTCCAGACTAGGCAAAAATACTAGTTGTCATTAGAACGCGGAGAACGTAAACTTTCTAATGCAATAGAACTCATATTCTTCCATTGAGCAGAGCAAGCACAGTGAGCCAGTAAACAACGACTAAAATGTCAAGCTCTTGCCACTGGAGTGGGACCGCCACCTTAACTGTCCGGAGGAAACTGGCGTGACTGCATTTTTTTCATAAGATATTTTTTCACAATCCATCAATGAAGCGAGACCTCATTTCACAACCGTCATACCACTCATCGCGCATTGATCATCAGCATAAGGTTGCCATTCCGTTTTGCCGCACCAAATTCTTTTCAGCAGCCTTCTTACCGAAAACAGCCGCCGATTGGAACCACCTTCCCTCTTCCGTTGTAACAATAACAGACCCTTTGTTATTCAAGACTGCAATTTCTCAGCAATGCTTGTAACTATACGCAGTTTCCATTATCTATCTTTGTCTTGTATGTGCTTGAATTCTTATATATTTTTAGTTGAATTATGTTGCCTTCCTGATTTGCGCATCTGACACTTGTTTCTTTATTTTGTCTTTTTTTTTCTTGTGTGTTATAAATGTTGTACCCACCCCCTCTGTAATGCCCTACGGGCCCTGAGGGTATTCTAATAAATAAATAAATAAATACCAGTCCATACTCCCTCCCCCCTTTCTTTCTCTTAAAAGGAGTAGTGAAACAAAACTTTGAAAGCAAGATAACCTGTCAAATTGATTTGTGTACATACACACTTCATCTATCAAACAAACATTGTCACGCAAAACATATTCAATATAATTGTGAATCGCGTGTCGCCCTACGGCATACTAATTATGCCTTCGTTATTTGGGTAAACAAACAAACAACCCCCCCCCCCCCCCAGTCACAAGTTTTGTGTTGGCCGCTCCTGGCGAATCATTTCAACGGAAAGAGGGGCAGACATGTACAGGAATACAAAGGCTGGTGTTCGCGCTTCAGCGGCTTTTTTTGAGGGGTCATGCATATTTACAACGCCGGAGAGGAGATCACAGGAGCGCCCACAAAACCTTCGTTGAAAAGACTTGTCGGTATGGTGATTCACGTGCACGCGGTTTTGCGCGACGAAAACCCAGGATTATTTTCCTCCATGCGAAAACCCCTCTGGGTCCCGCCTCACTCGGCTCTCTGTCGTACCAAGACTTCAACAATTATCACGCGCTCGAGTAAACGTGTTTTCCGGTTTTGGGTTGCAAAAAAAACATTTTTAGCGTAAATGTATAGTGTACTAGAATATTCTAGTACACTATAGTAAATGCTCCTTTGCTCATAGAGTCCGAAAAGTAGGGGCTATTCATGGAGGAAGGAAAACTGAGGATAGGCCCTCGCTATCCAAGTGGCAGGGAAAAAGTGTGGCACCAGTCACGTGCTCTTTCGCAATGGTTGCTATGGCAATGTGGGCACGCCGTCGATGCCCCGTCATGGCCCCGTAGTCTCGCGTCGTCGGCAAATCACACCTTTGATCGGCTTGTTGTCTGTGAATCTACATTTTGTGAGGCCGTTGTGTTCGCGGATGACGTAAGCTTCTAGAAGTTCATCCTACAGTGAGTATGTCACCACGGTTGTGTGCGCAGCATTCAACGTTCCATTGCGAGGAGTTTTCGAAGTCCGCGACAGCTTCTCCGAGAACACTCCGCGCCGCAACTTCACTGTTTGCCTTCGACACCATGCTGCTGCACTCCTCCTCGATGAAAGGATACATTTCCGAGAACAGAACGACACCTCCGGCGGCTCCTAATGTTGGAGACAGTGGTCACTCATTGCCGTGCGCGACGGCGACGATTGGAAAGCATTGGCCCGGTGCTCTCACTGAAGGCTGCATTGTCAAGAGCAGAAAGACGTGCCTAACCCAATTGTGTTTGACACAAGAAGGCGATTTGTGAAGCTGCTTGATGTCTTAAGATTCCATTGCGTTTTGTGCGAGGTAGTTGTGTATGGACCGAAGTTCTATCCAAAGCGGTCGTACCCAAACGACCACCCCGCCCCACTGCAGCTTGGCTGAAGTGCCGCCACGTCGGTTCGATTGTATGAAACTATATATGGTGTGAATGTTATGACGCACAGATGCAAGGGATAATCTGAAGGTGCAACATGCTTCTATAAAAGAAGTCCAATGCAGATGGCACTGTTGAATTATGTTGCGTACCCTTAACTTACCGGTTCACCTGAAAAAAAAAAGAGAAGTCCGCGGCAATTATCTTGCCGAGTTGCACAGTTTCTTGCATTCAGCTCAATAGTCTTGAAGCGCGTAACTGGAAGTTTATTTGAAAAACTTAATAGCAACGCTTGCACTCACTAAAACTTTGTTCCATTTCCTGTACACTCGCCTGTGCAATATACTGACGAATCAGCATGCAGTAAATTTACCTATCTTTCCAATCCTCACGAAGGCGAACTGCCACTGGCGCCGCCCGATTGAAGTGCTTAGGTGGGAAGTGTTTTGAGCACACATGCAAAAGACCATTTCGTTGGTTCCCAGTCGCGTTGGCTCGATTTAGAGCCTCTTTCGACGAAGATCTTTGGGAAACCTGCACGAAAGCAAATCATAAATGTACGCGAATTCGCTGACATTGACGCAGGGACAAATATTCATGAATAAATTGAAAGACAGTGATATCACGACGCGGACAAAGCGAACTAAAAAAGAAATTCCGGTGCTAGCTGCCCCGTGTCGTCCGCGTTGTGGTTAATTGCGCTGCGTTTTATTGCGTTCAAGAACTGTCACCAAGAGCCGTAAATGTACCCCAGGAACACTACGCAGACGCATGAAGTGTCGTGCATTATGTTCTGCGACGATACTCTCGATCATACCGTACGTCGAGCATAAAGTTCAATACACTCACCTGTGGAAGCTGACACCTGGTTCCCATTTTATCGAGGGCATCGCAGCTCCTTAGCCGATTTAACAGATGTATCGCTTTCCGGCTCGGTCAGCTGGCGATGTCCCTGCGCTCTGGCCAGCGCAATGCGATATCATATCCTAGCAACCAGATGAGCGTGCCCACAAGTGCGAGGAGGAGCGCTCCTACTCTTCCCTACTTCCGGCTTCACAAAATGCGACGTCACGGCCTCTCCTCAGTTGTTTCCTTCCTCCATGGGGCTATTTATGACGCGCACCAGTCTTATCTCTTATCGAAATGTGTTGGGGGAGGGGGGGGGGGAGGGCGTAATGTACGACTGGAAGTGGGTATGGTCGTAAACTAAATGGCTGCCGCGAAGACTTTAACAACGCTTCATTGCGCAAAAGATCCTCTATTTTCATCTTGCTGTACTATCTCTATGCCTTCTCATGATCCCCCCCCGCCCCCGCTAAGCTTTGTTTTGTGCTTGCCAGTTTTGGGTGAGGCGAGTTTCAGCTAATCCCACCAGCCTCCCAGATCAGTTACTGGAAGCTTCCCCTGAAAAGCAACCATACACGTACAAAAATGTTCGAAATAACCTTTCTCGGGCAATAATAAAGATATCTGCACAAACGTGAAAACTCCGATGAAAATAACCAATCATCCAATCACCACTCATCACCACAGCGTTAGAAGGGAGAAAATAATCCGTGAACTCAGCACTAACGGTTATATACAAAGGCGTTTACTCGCAGAGCCCTCCGTAAGAGAAAAGAAAGAAAAAATGTGACACCAACCACGCCGCAACAACGCCACGTGTCGATCCCCTACATCGTGGGCGCCAGCGAAGTTAAAAGGGCAGGAGTCGACGTTGCTTACAAGCCTTCTACCACCATCGGCAGTTTCATCCACTGGTCCAAAAACCTTGCATCAGCGGGAAGAGGGCAATGCGCCGTGTGCCAGTGCATGATCGCGTGCGCCGGCTAAACCAAGAACAACCATGAAAAAAAATGTGGCAGCACAGGAAGAACTTCGGTCAAATCAACAGTGAACGGAGCGCAGAGGCAGAACATTGTAAGCGGGTTGGCCACCATACCAGTCCTGACAGCGCGGTAATCTTCTAAACAGAAAAAAAGCCTTCGCCGGCGGCTCCCCTTTGAATCCTGGCACAGTCAGTAGACAGTGCGACCCCACCACTCTAGACAATGCCTTTCCTCTACTTCCAGGACTTGGAACGAGTCGGGGCAAACATCTCGGGCCTTCTCACCTCTGAAGAAAAAGGACGATCAGACTTCAAAACATTGCGTTTTTTATATAAATATTGGCTGTAGTTTTCTGGGGTTTTTTTTTTTCATTTTTCTGTTATCCCAACCGAACAGACTTCTGCCGAATGCCCACCTTTGAAGTAATACAGATATCTGTGCTGCACGCCCTAAACCCGGAGAGTAGAGCTCATGGCTGCGTTTTCTAGCCTGTCTGCATTTTTTGGGGCGTAAAAAGAACGCAAAAGCTCAGGTATAAGTAACTTGAGCCTGGGAAAAGCCTGTGTCGTCAAGCTTTTCGCAGAATGGCTAGGGCGAACACATTGACGGATGAGGAACCGCCGAAATTGCTTCCGCGTGTTACCTGACTATCAATGAAAAGGACTTTGAACAAGAAAAAAGTAAAATACAAAAGAAAAAAACTGGCGCTGCTATCCTGTGTCGATAGGGAGTCCTGAACTGCAGGCGTGCTGACAAAATGTTTAGAAGCTCCCGAAGTTCTATGGGGGTCACACAATCTGACAGGATTACAGTTTCGAGGAATTTATTTTTACCAGTGACTAAGTGTCGCGCACGGCAGAAGCGGTGTGTCAATTCCTGCCCCCTTCCCCGTTAGAATGCACTCGGAAAGCTTTCAACATATCATATGACAGGAAATGATACAAAAGCTGATAGAATCACTACACTTACAAAACTTGAAATTCGTCAAGGTGTAAACTTTTTAGGCGCAAAACGATACATCGCAAGGGCAATCACAAGTGCCCGTCCCGTCTCTGTCGTTCTTGTGAATATTCTGTTTTTGCGCTTCGTAATTTTTCGATCGCCACTTATTCATGCAAAAACGGAAATGGCGTCTGAGGACAAGCAGTTCAATGCAGCAGAGAGCGTAGGGGCACTCGATGCTCGCGAGTCATGTTGCTCTGTCACCTTGGAAGCCGCACGATTTATGAACGTGGAGTACAGTGCTCATTCTTGTTTGATTTGGTACGTAACTCTAGATCAAACTCAATGTAAATCACGATGTTGCGTAATGAAATTTTCGGAAGTTGCTCATGTGCCAGAACATGCTGCACAACTCACTTTCATGCCCTCTTATAGTCATGTTCACTTAATTCGAACAATTGTGAATTACACTAGATACACAATAATGGAGTAACGGACAATTATTCAGTTTTTTCTCTCGTTATTATCGCAATTCGATATGCGTTCTGCTCTGAGAAAAGATCATACGAGTTTTGTAGCATGCATTATACTGTGTCATAGTCTGCGAGCGGTTCACTGTATAAACGCACTACCTAATAGCATTAAAGTTGACGCCTGTACGATTCATAAAATCACTATACCATGACCAGAATTACTGTTTTTTTAGGAAAAATCCTAACGTCTCCTTGGAAATTCAAACTTCAAATTGTGAAATAACGCCGACGCAAACGGCATTACCTCCGTGACACTGCAAATAAATTTACAAATAGCTGTGCACCTTGGAAGTAGGCGGTATACATTAGCTCCTTAGTCATGTTAGCATTTTATTGTTGATATCTCATCTCAGTGGTGCATTTTATGTCGCCATTTCATTTACTAGCTGAAAGTTAAGGTATAATTTTTATTCTAAGATATGAGCAAGTGGTTTTTATCAAGGACCTTCACTGGAACGAGTTCCAAGGGTGTGGGAAATTAGACAGATTTACAATTTGAAGAATGAATTCTGTGGCTTAAGTATAACTCAGCCGGACTCACTCAGACTCTGACTCACGCCTCAATCAGAGTCTTTCAATTCCTCTGATAGACTCATGAGTGAGTTTGCCGACTTATAATCGGAACACATATCTCGTTCACGTCACATGTTGATGAAGACCTTTTCTCTGCGTTTACGATGGTAAAATACGGGAGAATGAGGAAGGTGGAAGGGTGGTTGCTATGCCAACATGACGATAGTAGGGATGATCTTTACCCATGTACGTAAGAAGAAACCAACAAAAAACACGGACGCAGCGTAGGAACCAGGAAAGACAAGTGCTGGACTTGAAACTAAATGTTATAAATTACCTGCAAAAATTAACCAAAAGCACATGCTTGAAAAAGCTATCTAAAGCACAGTTGCACAATTAACCGTACGTTTTTTTTTTTTTTTCAACAAATGTTTCGAGGTGGTATGAACGAGCCGATATCCGTTAAATACCAAAATATTAACACCAAGTTTATTTGTAAGGAATACTGGGGGATCACTCACACAACACTGTTTTTATTTCGAAGGCTTGACGAGTTTCGCGTTCAATCTTTTTTCCCCCTTGCCGATGACATTCAATAATTTGAAAGAAATTAATTTGTCATGCGGCCGTGTCTACAGAGATCAGACGAATCGAGGCCTAGTGACATAGGCAGTGTGAACATCCTCCAGGCACAAAACTGACCTCTTCACTAGTCTCCGCGTTACCAATATATCAGTGTCATCGACAAAAGAAGAAATCAAAAAGAAAACAAAAGAATTGAATGTGAAGATTTTGAATCTATAAAAATAAAAAAAGGCAAAGTGCAACGCACCTTTAAGTGATCCTCCAGTTTTCTTTACAGCTAGATAAGGAATTCGCGTTGCTAGAGAGCGGGTGCACGAGCCGTTGATCTTAGAATCGGGCTGTTTGTACCATTCTGACACGCTTCTTGCCTTTGAAGTGTTAGCTGTGCAGCTGTGGAACGCCTCAGCCTATTTTTCACGAATCCACTTCTGGTACAAGGGTTTGTAGACTTTCCACGATAAACAGTTCGCTCGATGTCCTCTCAGGTGGAGCTCCTTAGTTTGTTCATCCAAAATATTATAAATTAACTCGCCGAAGGAGCTACATATGTGGTGTCCTTTTCAAAACACAGTTGTGACAAATCGGCATCTATAGTTAGTTGAATCAAGTCCAAGATGAAAATCGGTGAAGGAAAGGAATATTACTTGATTTGATAGCGCGGCGTGGAGCGTCGCACGGTGTGCAGGACAAAACACGCTGAAAATACAAGACCACGATTCAGTGTTTTGTCCGCATTCATCCTCAGTGCACTACTTTACAGTTCACACAAACTTAATTTATAGTGATCACCATTTTCGCTTGTCCCTGTATTTCTGTCCGCGTCTAAGTGCGTTCTCATTTCAAAACAATTACCATTTCGTCCAATATTGTTGATCTTGCTCAACCTGCCCATACAATGGGGATCATTTCTGTTTTATGGAACATTTCGTATGATAATTGTCCTTCTACCTTTCTTTGTTCACTAAAGGCCATGCATGTGGTCCAGTTTCTTAACTGATTTTTTTTTGTAAATGTGCCCTAAACAGCTAGCCCTTCCTCAGTTATAACAATATCTTCCATACACACCGCGCTTCCACCCTGGCCATCACCAGTTCTGGCCCCCACCCTTCACATTTGAACTGCCTTTGTTCTTAGACTCACTTGCAGAGTCATAATTATAAATATTCTAGTACTGACTTTCCCCACCTTTTATTAATGTTGAAAGCCCAACTCACATATAGCATATTCTAGTTAGATAGAATATGTCCACAGTCATCGCCAAACACCACCATTGGCGCTGTCACGGACCGGGATTCACTGAAATACACTGAACTCAACAGTATCTTAAAATTCACGTTTACATCTAATCCGACAGTATTAGGATCACTCGAGAAGTTAGTTTTTTTATTGTCTAATTTAACTTGAAATGGCAGGTGATCCCGGCTGCGGCGGCTGCATTTCCGATGGAGGCGGAAATGTTGTAGGCCCGTGTGCTCAGATTTGGGTGCACGTTAAAGAACCCCAGGTGGTCGAAATTTCCGGAGCCCTCCACTACGGCGTCTCTCAT